AATGCTCAAAACAACATCAAAACACCAAATTCGCATCGGATTCAAGCCTAAGATTTCCAAAATCTTCTAAATTACGCTTTTGATAAAAAACCCAACCAAACCACATCCGAATGACCTAAAATTTTGCACACACATCCCAAATGATGCAACAAAACTACTGCAACTCTCGAAATTCCATTCCAACCCATATATCAAAATCTCACCTATCAACCGGAAATCGCCAAAAATCCAATTTTGCCAATTCAAGCCTAAATCTACTCTGGACCTCCAAAACTCATTCTGATCACGCTCCTTAGTCCCAAATCACCTCCTGAAGCTATCCGAACCATCGAAACTCACATCTGAGCCCTCTAATACATAAGTCAATATTCAGTTTATGTTTCCAACTTAAGCTTCTTCAAAAGAGACTAAGTGTCTCAAACCTTACCAAATCCTTTCCGAACCCGATCCAACCAACCCGATCACATATAGAACCGATAAACAAAGCAATAAGAAGCATAAATGGAGGAAATAGAATGGTAACTCATGAGACAACTGGTCGGGTCGTCACATGGGTAGAAGACATCAAGTAGGCTTGCTTGACCGGAGTATCTCGGTTGAGCGCCGGTCGCGCTCCCCGAGGTTGATGCGTGACAAGTTCCCAAAGTATCCTAGGATTTTATGGGATATTTGGAAAATTCTATCATAGTTGTTGGGATATTATCAAGGATGATTTATTGTTAAAGGTTATTGATTTTTTTGCAAGGTACTCAAATTCTAAGATCAATCACTCATACTAACTTGGTCTTAATTCCTAAAGTGGACTATCATCAAACTTTCACTGAATTAAGACTAATTAGTTTGAGTAATTTCTTAGTAAAATTTATCTCCAAACCGATGAACTAAAGACTTTGTCATTTTATGTACAAATTGGTGTCTCCTAATCAAACATGCTTAATCAAAGGAAGATCAATCACTAAGAATATTATGTTGACTCAAGACATGGTCAATAATATCACAAGACCTTCCCCACATGGAAATGTAGTTATTAAACTGGATATGACTAAAGCCTATGATAGAGTATCATGGGAATATCTGTGCAAAATTCTCAAACATTTTGGATTTTCTAAAAAATGGATTAACGGTGTTTGCAGTCTCATCAACAATATCTGGTACTCAGTTAATATTAATGGAGTCATACATGGATTTTTTAACTCCAGCAGAGGCATAAAACAGGGAGATCCCCTTTTTCCTTCTTTATTTGTCATAGGAGCTGAACTTTTCACAAAAATGATGAATTCTCTAATACATAATAACTTTGTCCCTTTCACAATTGATATTAATGGACCTAACATATCTCATTTATATTATGCATATGATATTATTTTGTTCTCCTCATGTGATCCTCAGTCAATTAGACTCTTGATGTATAAGCTTGGAAAGTATAAATAAATCTCTCGACAACTGATTAACAAAAGCAAGTCTGACTTTTATGTTCCCTGTGGAGATGATGATCCTAGGATATCCTCGATCAGAGATATCACTAGCTTTAACCAATCTCAATTTCCTATGCAATATCTAAGATGCCCATTTACTTTGGGATGAAAAAATTATTTATTTCAATAATATGGTGACTAAGGTAGCTAAGAGACTACAAGGATGGCAATGAAGATTGTTGTCCTATGGTGGAAAAGCTGTCCTGATTAAACCTGTCCTTCATGCTTTACCTATCCACCTACTATCATTTATCCATCTGACAAAGACTACTCTAGAACAAATAAAAAAGAGGCTTTAAACCTTCATCGATGCGAACACACTGGCAGGGGGAGCAGCAGGGAAAGCGAGGCTCCACACCCTTCTCCGGAGAAAGGCATTTTTTACGTCAAGTTGGCGAATGGGCCAATTTTGTGAGATGGCAACTGCTAGATAATTGTTGATTTCTTCTAGGATATAGATGGGGATAGAAAGAAGAAACATTGGTGTGCCTAGTCTGATCTGTGCTTACCAACTAATGAGGGTGGTGCTGGTTTCAGGTCCCTAAATGACATTTGTAATACTTTATCTGCTAAATTATGATGGAATTTTAGAGCTTATAGCTCTTCTTGGAAGCCAAATATTGTAAGAGGTACCATCCGGTTGCAAAGAAGTGGTCCTCTAGCCCATCACATATATGAAAAAGGTTGATGGACAACAAACACATTGTCGAGACTTGTATTCTATGGAATATTGGAAAAGGATATGTCTCCTTCTTGTGGGACAACTGGACGGGTCTTGGCCCTATTTCTAACCTTGTGCAGAACTAAAGAACTCCTAAGAAAGTTTCAGTAAATGACTTCTACATAAGTAATAATTGAAAGCAGTATAAACTTAGAAGAACCCTCCCTCGGAATGTGGTCAATTATATTTTGAATATTGACTTCTCCCCAGATAAGAGAGACCAACCTATTTGGACCCCTGAGGCATCAGGAAAATTCAGTACCATCTAGTAAGAAAGAAGGACATTAGTACTTTATCTTACTCTAAGAATTGGCACAAAAAAGTTCCTTTTAAGATCTCTTTCTTTATGACGAGGGCTCTTTAGAACAAAATCCTCACTGATGATGCAGTTAAAAGATTTGGGATCTATCTTCCATCTATTTGTAGTTGTTGCACTAGTCACAAGATTGAAACCACAGTACATCTCTTGATTGAAGGGCAGATTCCTTCATAGGTTTGGAACTTCTTTTGTAATACTTGTGGTATAAAATATGTTCATGGTCAGCTTAGGATGTCTACTATGAACTGGTAAACTGCTAAAGGAAAACAAATGAGAATCACACTTGCATGTTACAGTGTCTATCAACTGCTATTTATTGGAAAATTTGGAAAAACAGATGCAAGACTAGGTTTGATGATAAAAGGATGTCATCCTCGTATATCATTAATCAAGTCAATAATCTCATCTCTTTGATCTTCAAAGTTTAATTTTCTGACTTACAACTTCCCAATTCTTGGCTAGCAAAGCGTAATCTGATTGAGAATGGCTTAAACTATTTGGTAGTTTAGACATGTCCAAAATTTATTTAACTAAATATCGATGGGTGCAGTTAAAGTAATCGTGGATCCTCTGGTGGTGGTGAAATTATCAGAGATCATAGTGGATCTATGATTCACGCCTTTGTAGAATATGATAGGGCAGTGTAGTAACAACACTGTTGAAGCCAATGCTATGCTGGAAGAAATGAAAATTTGCTTAAGTGCTGGCCTATCTAATATAGTGGTAGAATATGACTCTCTTTTGCTCATAAATATCATCAATAAAAATCTTGATCCACCATGGCAAATCAATCAAATCATTGAGCAGATTATTAATATATATAATGCTGGAAATTTTACCTTCATGCATTTCTTTAGAGAAGGTAATTGTACCGGTGACTTACTAGCCAATATGAGAGAAGAATCCAAAACTTTTTCTATCATCAATGAAGCTACTTTCCTGCCTCCTAAAGTTAGAGCTTCAATGAAGCTTGAATTTGATGAGCTCCCAAATTTCAGATACAGGAAGATGAAGAACATGTTCTGATGTTAGCTGATTTTTTGATCTTGTTTTGCTGATTCCTAATATGTATATAATATACTGTTGCCTTGATGTTTTTCAATCCATCCGTAACGGTGATACTCAACAGCTAACATATCATTTTTATGTGCAAATGACTACTAAGGTGGAAATATCCAACCTTCACAATATTTAGGAGGCTAAGGTCTATGTCCTCCTCCATGTAATTATTATTTTTGATAAATATACATATTAGGAGTCTTTCCTAAATTCCTCCATCATGTGAATGAACCTATATTTAAAAAAAACAACTAGGGAAAAGAAGAGAGGAAAAGGAAAGAATTTTCTCTTTCTTTCTTTTGGTTTGCAAATGAAAGAGGAAGGATAATTGGAACAAGAAACAATTCTCTTCATAAACACAGAATCTCAATGCTTATTTGATCACGTGGAGAATTTAAAATTGATAGATTACATAATTCAAAAGAAAAATACTTTTGACATGAAACTATGAAAGACAAACCTATGCAAAGTATTAAAATTACTCTTTTGAAATGAGTGGTTGTGACAGCTACACACATCTTAATTTTTTCTTTTAATATATAACAATTAGCTTTTATATCAAGAAAGTTCAACAAGTGATATCCTTAAGATACAACAGGAAGCAGAGATTAAGGACCTGTTTGGTCATAGATTTTGTCAAAATTTATTTGGATTTTTTTGGCAAATACATATTTGTTTATAAATATTATCCATATTTTGGCAAATTCCCAAAACCCAAATCCCAAAACCAACTGAAGAGCGGGTTTTGACCTAAAATATTACTATTACATTTTTAAAAAATTGCCCAAACTTTTGTATTTTATAAAGGAGCCCATCATTTATTATTTTGTAACAATATTGTTTCGTCTTCTCGATCATCTAATAGTGCATTATGTAGTTCATTATAAAAATAATAATTTTGCACCAAATTTATTTATGTTCAGAACTATGGTTTGCTATAATATAATGAATGTTATTGATGAAAGTAGTATTGAGTATTTGTGATAGTTTTTAGAACTTGTGGGTATAAGTCATGTTTCATGTTTTTCCAAAACAAAAATAGTGAAATATGTTTAGAAAATTATGTTCAAAACAATTTTATCTTCAAACCAAATTTTACCCAAATCAAAATTTTTAAAATAAATTTGTAAATTTATGACCAAACGCTAGGTAAATTCAAAAAAGAGAGATGAAGTACATATTTTTAAGACATTATTAAAAAGGGAAGTACTGTATATCTTACGAAATGAGAGGGATGGAGTAAAAAATTGTCCTTTTTGCTTCGACTCTTTAGCTGCCAAGTGTACAACGCTCATAGTTGAAGTGTAATTATGTTGTAAGACAAAACTTCATCAAACTCACTTTACTTTTCAACAGTAACTATCTAGTGCATGAATGCCAAGTGCGAATCTTACAAAGAAATCTTGTAACTATACTTCTCATTTCCATGAATCTAAACAGTTATCCCCGAAATCCCATTCAAAAATATCATAACAGATTAGCTACTATGAGGAACAAACAAATCCACGTTTTACCACAGTAATATCATTAAAGTTACCTTCTTACCCCCTCATCTACCCCAAATTTCCTCCTTAAAACACGTGCTATTATGTCATTTTACATCTAACTCCTGTCCTTCTTCGTCGGAGTTTGTAGTACAACACTTCCCTTTCTCTCTCTTCACTTCATTTTCTTCTTTCCAAAAAAAACTAAGTTGAAAAAAATAATCCAAAATGGAACATCCATTTTTCATCAACGGCGCCGGAAACACGCCGAGAGCGGAGGCGTTACGGTGGCTATCAATAGCCGAGAAGCTATTAACTAACCGTGACCTAGTCGGGTCCAAATCATTCGCGACCCGAGCACGTGAATCCGACCCGACCCTTTTACCCGCTGACCAAGTCCTCGCCATAGTCGATACCCTAATCGCCGGCGACAAGCGGATCAACAACCAGCACCTTGATTACTACTCCATTCTCCAAATCCCTTTAAACCAAACACATGATTCTGAGCTCGTAGCTAATCAGTACCGTCGGCTCGCTCTCCTTTTAAACCCTCAGAAGAATAGTTTCCCTTTCTCAGATCATGCTTTCCGGCTCGTACTTGATGCTTGGTCTGTTCTTTCGAATGCGTTCAGGAGAAGTGTTTATGATAAAGAAATTGGGTTTTTTATTAACCTTAATCCTGTTGCTACTTCTCCTCCGCCTAATAATAACCCCATTGGTTTCATGCAGCAACCAAGTTCTGTGCTTTTTCAACAGGCACAGTCACATCCAGTGAGTTCAAGCAGAGAGCAGCAGCGGACAGTGGCATTTCTTCAAGACCCACAAATGCAGCAGCAGTCAGTGAGTTCTGTGTCCAGCTTGAGTAGTAGAGAGCAGCAACAGACTGTAACATTTCTGGGCAGAAACCAAACACAGCAGCCAGTAGTAAGCTCTACTATGCTAAGTCCAGACAGAGAACAACAAAACCCTTTTACCTTTGGGTCAAGAGGGCAACAGCAGCAAGTAGCTTCTGTGGAGTCAAAAAGAGGGCAACAGCAGCAAGCAGCTTCTGTAGAGTCAAGAAGAGGGCAACAGCAACAAGTAGCTTCTGTAGAGTCAAGAAGAGGGCAGCAGCAGCAAGTAGCTTCTGTAGAACAGCAGCAAGGTAATAAACAGGCGCCACAAAGAAATGAGGGTTTGATGGGTAACAACCAAAATTACTCTGCTACTACTACAAGTAAAAATGTGAACTTTGAGGCTTTGTTTGGGAATAGTCAAAATAATTCTGCTAGTACTAGTAATGTGAACAATGAGGGTTTGTTTGGGAACAATCAGAATCAGCCTGCTAGTAATAGTAACAATGTGAACAATGACGGTTTGTTTGGGAATAATCAAAATCACTCTGCTAGTACTAGTAAAAATGTGAACTTTGAGGGTTTGTTTGGGAACAATCAAAATCATTCTGTTAGTACTAGTAACAACAATGTGAACACTGAGAGTTTGTTAGGGAACAATCAAAATCGTTCTGCTAGTACTAGTAACAACAATGTGAAGGGAAAAGAGGGGGGTGTAGGTGCGTCGAGTCATGTTGTTCCTAGTTTCTGGACTGCATGTCCTTATTGTTATGTGATGTATGAGTATCCTTTAGAGTATGTGGATTGTACTTTGAGGTGTCAAAAGTGCAAGAGGGCGTTTCAGGCTGTAAAGATTGCGTCGCCTCCGCCAATTATAGAGGGAAAAGAAGCTTATTTCTGTTGTTGGGGATTTATGCCTTTAGGATTTTCCTTGGACACTTTTAAGAAATATAAAGGTAATATCTCAAGCTGGACTCCTTTTGCACCTGTGTTTAATAAACATGGGGGTGTAAGAAAGCCCCCCGCTCCGAGGGTTTATATCGATGATGTTGTTGAGGATGTGTTTTTGGAATTATCTGAGTCGAGCGAGGAGTCAGATGAGGATTGGAGGGGTGATAAGAAGAAGAAGAAGGCGAACAGTGGGAAGAAAAAGAGTAGAAGGACGAGGAGAAAAAAAGCCAAGATACAGCAATCTGATAAGGGAAAGAATGTTGTAGGGAATGCTGGTGACAATGTGCAAGATATTTCAGCAGCTCAAGGGGGTGCAGAAAAGCCCAATGTTACGGCAGCTCAGTCGAGCAAGAGAAGTATTGCAAGTAACACAAGAAGGCAAGCTGGGAGGGTTACAAAAGACGTTGGAAAGTTGGATTTGAATGTGGAGTTCAGTAATGAGGTTGAAGAGCCTCCTGCACCTGGGGTGGGCCAAGGGAATGGAGATGGAACGGGAGAGGATGGCAACATTGAAGGAATTGAGTTTTTTGAAGGTCTTGATGAATTCCTAAGCAGTCTTCCTATACTCAATGCTGTGGGTGATGATAAGGTCAAGGCTGCCTAGCGAAGTAAGGCACTTCTTTTGTTCTAGTTGTAGCTTCCTTTTGCTTTTTGTATGTTCTAGTAAGAATGAAAAGCTACTTGGGCATTGGCCTTGATGTTTTCGTTGTAATGTTAATGTATTGCTAGTTTGCTGAAGTAGCTGCAATAATTAGCTTATTGCTCCGATCTCCATGCTGCATCACAGCATCAGTAATCTTGGTTTTCTTTTCGTACAGCTAAATCATTTGTCTTCAACGTCCTACATTTCTATCTTTTAAGATATCGAATGGGTCCTCCAGAGGGAGCCTTGTTTACCTGCTTCTTCTTTTTTTCCGGTTTTGCAGCACAAGTTTTACTGTCTTGAAGTCTGTTAACTTGAAACCAAGTATTTATCTACTTATTTCAGGAAACTGATAGCTGTTAAGTTCCCTTGTTGCTTGTTTGGAGCAAAAAGTCCAGGATCTTAACCTTGGCTACGATTCAGGGATTCTTATAGTTTTGATTTTTTTTCCCTTGTTAAAAATACGTTAACAAATTTAAATCGGTTAAGAGGATTATTGATTTTCAAATGCTAAGCTTCCATTTAAATAAAAGAACTCTTATTTTCCGCATACACTTTTATAAGTTTTTGCCCCTTTTCTCTTCATACATGATTACTAGTCTTGATTTGAGATCTTTTAAAAGCTTTGACAACAAAAAAGGTTAGGCAAAAATGGCCATGGGGATAGATCTGGAAAACTAAGGCTCCATTCAAAGTGCAATATTTCTCTTGGTTGGCAGCAAATGAGGTTTTTTTGACACATGGCAATTTACAAAGAAGAGGGTTTCACATAACTAACAGGTGCTATCTGTGTGAGAAGGAATGAAAGAAAATTCTCATACCTTCATACGTTCTTCACTCACCTCCCAAGTGTCGCACATGTTCCTAAATATATATTCAAGGTAAGGACTAAAAAGGACTTGCTGACTAGCTGGAGTATAAGGGTTTGAGCACGAAGAAGAAGAAGAAGATATGGTCAATAGTACCTGCTAGTATCTGGTGGACTGTGTTGGAAAAATGTTTTGAAAACAGATAAGAGCCTATTAGCATAATTAAGACAATTCTTTTATGTTTGTTATGTTGCTGGTGTATATAGACAATGCTGAAACCTGACAGCATGTGAGTCTTTATTAGCTCCCTTCAGGATTTGTGGGAGACTGGCTCATAAAGCTTTTGTTTTATATATGTCAGCACTCTCTTAATGCTGGTTTTAAGTTAATGTGATCTTTTAGTAGCTAGTTCATCTTATTGTTTTCATTCTCCACTGCATTTTAAACCATGTTCGAGATTGACTTGTGGTTTTGAAATTTGTTTCAAGTTCTTGATTTCATTCTTCTTTCCATCCAAACTTTGGTTCTTGAAGTGGGTAACATGAGGTTGAGCTGAATGATAGTCCCCAACCACCATTAGATAACTTCAACCTAAATTACAAACACTTCAAATTAGCATTTCTTTGAAGAGAATGCACAGAGGGAAGGTAGTATTGTATTTTCCACATCCAGTTCACTCCTCTCTGCCGTGCTTTTATTTCTTAGAAACAAGAATAAAGGAAACTTCAGTCTAACTTATCAGTTTAAAATGCCAGCATTTGAGGATAGTTAAAGGGATCCTTTAACTACTAATATTGCTGCAATTTTTGCTTATGCAGTAATAGTGTTTTCATGTATTCATCCAAAAAAAGAAAAAAAGGTGTTGATGTGTGTGAGAGGCGGTGTCTCCTTCTACTGAGCTAGGTCCAATCATATCCTTCTTCCTTCCCCTAACCATAAGTCATTGCTGCAGAGGTTATTGAAGCCACTGAATTGTTTTACAGCCATATCGAATGCAGAGGTGTAAGTTGTCTACCGTCTGACTGTTTGAATGTCTGTTCTTAGCAGTAGCCTTCTTGATTTGGGTTTTTTCCAAAACTCTGCATCTGCTTCATTACTTGTGAGCTAACAGTGACAGTACAGATTTTATTTCTTGCCTAGCTTGGTGTAACTCCTTTGCAGAGATGGCGGGTTTCTTGGTACTAGGTAAAAGCTGATCAATTCAAGCTACAATCATCTAGCTACGGATGTTGCTCTGGCAATGAATCCTATTTCACTAAATGCTGCTTCATATACAGCATAGGATTAGCCTTTTATGAATTCTGAATGACTTGGTATTATTCCTTGTTTACGTCGGGATGAATTATGCAGGGTTCCCAGTAAAATTCTTCGTAGCTCACGAGGAAATGATGATCTTGAACTTCCATAGATGTGTTTTTGAGCTTCTGTCATTTTCTGCCCTGGAAGGCATTCCTTGGTGTGATACATTTTCATTGCATAATTGATGGTGTTGCTTGAATAAGTTTATCAGGTACCTTTTTGTTTTGTTACTTTTGACACTTGAAACTTTGTATGTTCTGTATGTGCTCATACTGGTGCAAGGTAACGTTGATGTCTTCCAACGTTTGAATGCCATTCTTCTAAAGCTTTGGAATCTTTTAAAATGGTTGGTTGTATTTCAGGAATTGATTTGGCCCAAATTTTTTTGTATATGCTGGGGAACTTTGTGAATAATTGTCCTCTATTGGGAAGGTCTCTTTTTGATGAGTGGCCGTCGCTTGCCAGAATTTGTATTAGGTGCCAGTATTCATTTGCATCTGACATTATATTATGCCAGCTCTTGTAGTTTCACCCTTTATCAACAACAGCAATAAAAAATCCAGTGTAATCCCACAAATGGCGTTTGGGAAGAGTAGTGTGTGTATGCAGACTTTATCCCTACCTTGTGAAGATGTTCCTGATCCCCTCGGCTCAAGGTGTTTCACCCTTTACCACAAAAAAAATAAAATTGAATTGGTTAGTTCTGCCAGCATATTCAACTTGAGGCCAATATATTCATGTTATTTTAAGTTTACGTCCTATTGACAAGGGTTACGTTTTTGTGATTTTTAAATATTGACTGGCTTTACAATTACCTAAAATTTCAAGGAGTGCAAATTGCTTCTGATCTGTAATGGAGGTGCTTAAGTCTTTAGGTGTGGTTTGGTAGTTCAAGTGATTGGTCGGAATAGGCACATCAAAATTCTAGTTGAATCTTTTTGCATTCAACCCAAAACCTTAACGCATTAGGTGGAGTATGCTAGGTCATCATAAACATCATTGTAAATCCTGACGCAACCAATGAATGACAAGTGTAATTTAACACAATCCCGCATATGTAACTTGATTCTACTATATGGTTTAAAGGTGGATTAAAGATCTTTTTGGCTGCTTTTTATAAGTTCTTCTGCGAAGGCTGAAGAGTAGATCTGAAGCGGAGAGAGAGATGAGGGAAGCCTAGAGTGGCTTGACGGGCCGATGTTAGAAGGATATATGTCCAAAACGATAGAGTAGATAGAGAAACAAATATTAAGACGAATTTACAGAAGGTCACCAGAGTTTGGATATGATGCCATATGAAAGAATGTGAGTTTCCAACCCAAAATTTTAAGTCAATGAGGTGAAGTGGTCCAAGACATTATATATTTTTATTTACATAATTATATCTTCAACACATCTCCTCACATATGGGCTTGATTCTTTTTTAAGGAGCCAAATATGTGAACTTTTTCTTACAATAGGTAGCAATGAGACTTGAACCAAGGGCCTCTCCTAGTTTTGATATCATATTAAATAGGGTAATCATCTGATCTAAAAGCATAAGCATGATGCACTTTTATTTACTTAATTATATTTTAATAACCGTTACCTTTTGAATTATTTCCCCCCTTTTTCATTTCTTTGACTACTGAAGCAGCATACATATTTCTATTTCCAGGAAAGAATCAACTGTTTGTTGGTGAAGTTGTTAATAGTCCCATGGCTTAAATGTCAAAGGCCTGAAGGGGAGTTGATACTTGAGAGTGGCTAAAATGAATATATAGACTGTATCTTTGAGGATGGGGATAAATTAAAATCCGGTAACTTTGGAGCTGAATCTCTTCGAATACCCTGTTTATGTTTTTTGTATCAAATTGTAATACTCTCACTGTTCCCTTTGCTGAAAGGCTAAATGTAATATGTCTGTCAAGTGTGAGCTTTCTATTCGCCAACTGTAAGAAACAAGAGAATTTTCTGCTATCTATTTTTACCCGTCTCAATGTCGAGGCTAATTTTTATATGCAATGCAACTTTCCCTTGATCATGATTAATATGCTATTATTTCAGCTATTGCATTTTTTTTTCATTTCCTGGAAACATGTATAAACTTTCAAAGTGTTTGATTTGAACTCAACCAGTAATTTTATGCGGAGTAAGAAAGAATAATTTATGCCAAGTTTACACTGTTATGGTAAGTTTGTGTTTTAAAACCAAGTTCCTTTGTCCCTTTGCTTTAGATTTGTTAGGCTTGAAGTGTTTATAATACTTACAATTCTAATAGCTGGTAGGGAAAACAATAACAGGTAATATGTGACTAATCTGGCAAGTATTCGATTTTCCCCCATAGTACTTGTCATCCATTTCCTCATGTTGGATCCTCTAATGGTCATATTAACTGTTACAAAATTACTCCTTTAGCTGGATAAAACAAGCTGAAGCAGTTTCTTTCTGTTTTGACATTTGTAATTTCCGTCAATGTCCTCCATTGATAGAGCCATTAGGTTCATACCAAGATGAAAAATTGGCAGTAAATGTGAGCCCAGGACATTTCTCTTTTTAACGAAATGAAAACAGCTAAGCTGAGAGATGTTATCAGGTTGCCAGCTTACTATATGTGTTTGTGACAGGTTCAGGCTATTAGTATGTTATTAGGTAATCCAATAAATTGACTTTTTAAAGTACCAGACCTGAAGCCAAGTGGATGGGAAGTTCAACTACTTAGGTCCTTACGTAACAAACAAATTCTTGAAACTATTGTTATGCATGTATTTAAAACCTATATATAGCAATAGACTTAAAGTGAATAGCACATATCCGAGTTTCATTGATTCCATACACATTTCTCTTTAAGCTTCTAGGATTTGCAGAAATATGGCTCACCATTACCAGCTATCCTCCCTCTTACTGCTTGCATTTCTCAACTTGTGCTTCATCCATGGCCCGATAACTGGAGCAACCGCACGTCGTCTTCTAGAGACGCCCCTCCCCGAGATTCCTAAACTAGAGTTCCCTAAAGTTCCAACCTTGCCAAAGCTTGAGATCCCAACTGTGCCGAAGCCTGAGCTTCCAACCATACCAAAGGCTGAAATGCCAGCTGTTCCAAAGCCTGAGATTCCTATTATGCCAAAACCTGAAGTACCAACTGTGCCAAAGCCCGAGCTACCATCTATCCCTAAGCCTGAGTTACCAACTTTACCAAAGCCTGAGATCCCAGCTGTGCCCAAGCCTAAGTTACCAGTTGCCCCAAAACCTGAGCTTGCTGCTGTGCCAAAGCCTGAGATCCCAGCAATGCCAAAACCCGAGCTTCCTCCCCTGAAAAAGCCAGAAATCCCAACAGTGCCAAAGACCGAGGTTCCTCCAGCTATGAAAAATCCTGAAGTTCCAGCTTTGCCAAAGCCCGAGGCACCAATTGTGCCAAAGCCAGAAATCCCGGAACTACCAAAGCTAAAACTACCAGAGCTTCCAAAGCCAGAAGTCCCAGCTATGCCAAAGCCTGAAATCCCAGAAATTCCTAAACCAAAAGAGATATCTTTTCCTTCACTTTCTCCACCACACAAACCCGCTACTCCTTGAGTAATTATAATACTGCTCGCTCTATTAGAAGGTACCCAACTGTGTTTTGAGATTTCCATCTTGGTCTATGAAGTTTGCTGCGTGGGCATGGCATGGAGATAGTTTGGCAGAACATATTGGATGCTTTCTCTAGGAGTAGAAATTATGATTCTTTTATAGTAGTATTTCAATTGGATGTACCATGTTAGTCGTGTTATTATGCTATATGAGTGTTTTATGTACTTTCTATGCAGTGAAATAAACCTATGATATATATCACTTTCTAGAGTTACTTTGATTTAGTTCCTATCGCTGGCCATATCTGATTTTGCTCATTCCTTTTTTTTTTCCCCCGACTCTTTTCCTCTTCGTTTTTCTTACAACATATTACCACTTTCTTCCATCACATTTCAAGAGATGGAAAGGATGAATACGCATACTTAAGCACCGGTAGAATAATCTGTTCTACAAATAGCTCACATTTTAGTGTATTTTAGAACAAAATTGAAGATTTAACTATTTGTTGCTTTCTGTTTCATTCATCCTAATGCACATTGGATTCTGTTACCACAATCCCGCCTGCTATAAAAGAAACATAAAAATAATGGGAGTGCTTGGTTCCTCTCAAGAGGGAGATTGTGCTTTTGGATCGATTGATAGTTTTGAACATATGAACTAGCTAAAATTTCTCTTAACACTTGTATTGCGTGACCATCTCATGCTTTAACACCATGTTGAATTGTGTGACCATCAATTCCTACTTAAACTATTTCGTATCTCCAAAATACGCCCTAAATTATATTGTCCTTCATATTAAAAACTCCTCATTGCTTATTTTTAGAGGTGCGTCTAGTACACACTCATATTTATCTAAAAAACGTGTCACGTAGCATTACACATTGCTCATTAACTTAACTTAAAACCTGCCTAAACTATTACTTTTTTATCGATTATCTGGTGTCTCCCTTGAACTATTCCCCTATATATTAAAACCATATTTTGGACTCTTAAAGGTGGGTCTGTCTAACTATATTAACTTATGGTTTGTACGAAATTTTTTATGTAGTTTATTCCAGATGTATTACTTTCGGATGACTAACTAATTCTAGGAATTTTGGCCTAAATAATATGTAATGTACTGTGTTAATTTTAGGTTTAATTGTGATTGTGCTTTATGCTAGACTCCAATTGAATAAGTCCTTATTAATATTCACTTTGCGGCTCTTAAAAATATACATAAAAGGCATATAGTGTTGCATTTCTTAAAAATCGTCTTATATTACATTAAAAAAACTAGACAAAAATAAAATTTTGCAAATAAAAAATTAATTGGCTAGTAATTACATTCTCTAATCTCAGATTACACAAAGAAGGTTCAAGAGATTCAACTTTATTCTCTACAAAGCGATGAGTTTAATAAGAAGATTCAAATTGGTGTTCTTTCAACAATATGTATAAGACATAAAAGAAGACTAAAACAAGAAATAGAATAAATTATTTTAGAGGAAACAAGAGAGGGAGAAATTTTTTCCGAGGAAACCCATATGGAGAACTGAAGAAAAAAGGTTAAAATGAATAAGAAGGTGAAAAAAATAAGGAAGAATGGTGAAAAGATGAGGAACAAAGGTGGATATAATTGAAATAAGGAGAATATTCATAAAATAAATAAATTTGAAAGAGGGTTAGGCTAATTAGCCATTATATTGAAAGAATTACAAGAAAATACACATGACTTCACACCATAACAAAAAATGACTCATGTTTTTAAGTTTTACCCAACCTAGCCTATATTGCACATATTTTGAAAGCACTAGCAAATTTAAAACTTGTGTTCTTACAACCATTGCTTTTAAAGCTATGAAGTTAAATATGTGTTCTCACAACCATTGTTTTCACTCACTCTTCTTCTCACATCTTCTACATATGCTTCAAAGGGTTGTCCGCCATTGGTGTTTCTTACACTGTATCACCTAGTTGCAATGTAAGAAAAATGAAGAGTAGAATTGTTACAACCCATGTTTTTGTACCTAAAATTACGTCGTGAGTCAATTGATGTAAGCTCAAAAAGGATGAAATCCTTTTACAAGGATAGGAAAGGTTTGCCGAAGTGTTAAGCAAGTTAAGATGAATATGAGACCTGTTAATCATGATTTAAATGAGTTTAAAGACATGATATGACTATATATGATGTTTGTATATGAAGTATAAAGTTTTAGAAAAATCGAATTTAAGTTGCGGAAAAACCGACTAAGGATTTGTATTGTAATGAAGCTTTTTGAGTAATATATTTTGTGTGCTATATGAGGTCTTTTTGGTACATATTATATACCAAATTGAAGGTGTTGGAATTTAGTTTCCAACGCTCTTAACCGTTTACTCATACGACACCTGGATAAAAAGTATAAACGTTGGAAGACGAGCCAATTATAGGGTGCCAAGTAGTACCTTTTGACTTTTCAACAAATGGAGATTATCTTCTTTATCTCGTCTCTTTCTGCATATTTCCAGAGAGCACGACCAAATAAGACCCCTAACATCACCCTTAAGCTCTCTACAAGGGCTTCAAACGATACCATCATCCCGGGCACGAAATCAAGAAGCAACAACACTAGAACGATCCTCACGGTGTAAGTATTGCTATATTGTCTCTCTTTTTCTTTGTAGTTTGAGTTTTGAAAGGTATTTAATAGTTTATAAAATTCTTAATTTCTGGTTTTAAGCTCTTAAATATCAATTAAGGTTGATTAATTCATTTCATAATAGTTAGAACTCACTGGACGGTGATCGGAAGCCGTGAGTTCGAGTTATTTGATTTGTAATGGACTATTTTGTGGGCTGTTTCGTGTAGCTTTTGGGCTGTATATTTTGCTGACATTTAATGAAGTTTTTGGAGGATAAATGGTGTGGAGAAACACTACTTAATGGCGAAATGATGGATTAGTCATTCTTTGTATTTTCGGGGTGTTGGACACTACTATAGTCGTCGTTTTTGGTATAAATTGATTGGGGTGTGTTGGGCTGTTGTAATCTAAATATAACATGTATTTAGACTTGCATCCACCGTAGGAGGTAATTATATTGTGTTCCTACAGGCGCTTAAGGTTATCTTGGCATTGGTTAAGTTAAATGGATGAACTAGACATGAACTAGTGTATAAAGTTGCTAATTACGAATAATTGGAGTTGTGGATCACTTTCTTTGTTATGGATATATGGTATAAGGCTAGAATTATTGATGAATGACTTCATTATAATGTTAACGATACTATTAAGTTAAATTAAAAAGTCTATAAGGGATGATATAGGGTATACGAATTCCAATTGGAGCTTGTCGCTCATCGTAAAATAGTTATGACTTGTTGTTATTTCATGGTGTCTTGTTATTGATAATTATGTATTGTTGGATTTATTTGGAAATTGTTGTTGGGATATGATATTAGAGGCTCTTGTTGCAGGGGAAATGCTGCCCGAATTTATATAAACGAGCGACAAGTTTAAGTTGCAGACTTAGCCTTTATTCAACACAGATTTTGAATCTCCTTATGCAATGGTAGATTGAGTTGAGTTGTTTGAAGAGTAGTTTGGGAGGTATTAAGTACTCACCATGGTTAAGGTATGTTAAGGCACTTTCCTCTTTCTTTTCGCATGATCTAAAGTGAAATGAATACGCTATTTCATAACGGATCTACTCCTAGAAACTAAGGTTGTCCATGTTGTTCTTTCCTTATAAAGTTATTTTAATAAAGTATGTATGATCCTTGAATCCTATAGAAGCTCATATTGATGGTATGATTTCCATAATGTTAATCGAAGGTGCAACGACCTTAAGTCACTCCAAAAGGTTTAGAACGTGACTCAATGACTCTAGCATGCATTATATATAGTATCTATTTTACTCTATCGAGCCGTGCTATAGTAGGATGGGTATGACACCTATTGTGCAACCACTGATCAGTTGGATTTACCGAGTTCCACGTGACCGGGTACTATTCTACCGAGCCTTGTGATGGCCGAGTACGTTTTCACCGAGTCCTCTTTGAGGTCGGGTACGATATGATGATGATGATGATGCCTACAGAGGCGTATGTTTTTAGAAGTTTATGTATATATATGTGTTATGCATTTCATGTCAGTATCCCCCAGAGGCACGCAGATGTTACAGGTCGTATCTTTTCTATCTCTCTTTATATTATTGTTCTTGTTTATGCTTTCTTGCCTTACATACTCGGTACTTTATTGTACCGACATCCCTTTTTCCTGGGGACGCTGCGTTTCATGCATCCAGGTCCCAATTGGTAGGTTGACATTCCTCCTAGTAGGTTATCAGCTCAGCGGAGGTGTTTGTGCACTCCACTTGCTCCGGAGTTGCCTATTTGGTCAGTATGCTTTGGATATGTATTGATTTATATGGCGGGGCCCTGTCCTGACCTTTATGATTTTATGTACTCTTAGAGGCTTGTAGACAGAGATCAGGTTTATGGATACTTGTATGTCCTTATTGGCCTATGTGTTGAGTTTACAAATGGTCATGTCGGCCTTATAGGCCCGTATTTCACATGTATGAGTTTCTACATCATATTGGGTTGTCCTATGTCTAGTATTCCTTTATGTTTTATTTTTATTATCTCATGACGGGTTTCTGGCTCATTTACTCAAGATAGTATAATAAGAAAGATATGTTATGTTGGTACTCAGTTGAATAAGGCACTGGGTGCCCGTCGCGGCCCTTCGGTTTGGGTCGTGACAGAAGTGGAATCAGAGCAGTTCTGTCCTAGGGAGTCTACAAGTCGTGTCTAGTAGAGTCTTGTTTATGGGTGTGTTGTGCACCACACTTATCAGCAGGAGGCTACATGGCATTTAGGATTGTCACTCTTTCTTCTTGTTCTAGATCATGTGATAGAGCTCAGTTGTAAGAATTCAAACTTCTAAATTTTTTTTAATTCATAATACAGTGATACCTACATCCAGAAAGATAATCGGTAAGAGATTGAATTTTGATGCGAAAGAGTTGTGTAAGAGGAA